TTTATCGTAGGAGTACGGAATGAGGGTTGCAAAGTGGATTATATTTGGGGTGGGGGTGGGGTTGGGGAGTGTGCAGGGGAGGATTGTGTACCAATGAAGGAGTTTTTCTTTTGCTTTGAGAGGAGCAAACTGGGGCAGGCGGGTAGAAAAGTGCAACAATGAATGAATGGAATTCCAAAATCTCTGTAGATGTTCGAACATAATTTGTGCCACTGAATTGTACTTATAAAAAATGTTGAAATGACAAATGTTTATTAGCAAATACACATTTACCATATGTAATAATAATACTTTTTTCATATCGGCCACTTGAGCTGTTGGAAATTTTTGGAAGTTGGGGTATTTTTTGTTTTTGTTTTAATTTTTGTGTGAGTGTACCATCAAATTAGATCTGACTGGTACAGAAGGAGATTGTCCCTCCTTTCCCGGCAGAGCATCTGGTGGATTCGAACCATGAGCCTCTGGGATTGTAGTTGCAGCTCCTTGGCACTAGGCCACCAGAGCTTCCCGGAAGTTGGGGTATTTTAACTCCTCAGTTCACTTTGTTTTCTGCCTGTTTAAGTTCAAAAGAAAATGGTATTTATAACTTTATGACTACCAGGAAAGAAGAGATGGCTTTTCATTCTCTTATCATAACTTTATCTATTATGGCTGATGACTTTTTTTATTTCTCTTTTCTTTACAGATATAACCAAGAACTAAAAGCTAAAGCACACAAATAAAAAGAGTTCCTGATCACCTGAACAATCTTTGTGGACAGAATCATTGGGACCCAGTTTGATTCAGTATTTGATGTTGATAACATGATACTGAACCATGTTAACATTTGGAAGTAAAAAATAAATTAAGTTTTATGGATAGCTTGGCTCAATGGAAAAATAAAGCAATTTAATAACAGATTTTCTCCTAATGTATGACTTGAAGAACTTATCTGTGGATAGTAGTTGCATTCTTTATACCATCCCTCCTGACATATCATACTTCTTCATACATGCCCTCTACTGCCTTCTGTTCTGGTCTGCTGAATTGTGTCTGTGTAAGAGCACAAGCTTTAAAAAGAGTGACAGCACTGAGTAAGCTACTTAACTGGGAAGGATAGTCAAGTAGCTAGCAGTGAAAGGAATTAAGAGTTTAGGAAAATGAGAAAAGAACACTTGAATGATTACCAAAATTACCTCACACTTCTCTAAAATATTTTAACTGGAGACATTTTTAACAATTTTTTAAATACTATTATTATTATTTGGACTCCAGTTTGAAGACTAAGCTTTCTTCTAATTATCATAATAAAGCCAGTTGGGTTAGAACTAAAGTTGATGAGTCAGCAAAGCAATTATACATTATTTGTACATTTAAAAGAAAAAAAATTTTTTAAATAATATATAATAAAAATTTTACAATTAGAAAATTATAAACTTGTATTTTATCATTTATCCCCTTACCATAGTCCATCTTTGATGAAGGAAGGAATAGAGAATTTATTATAGATGTAAATGAACATGTCCAGTAGAGTGAAATCCTTTTCCTTCAATAAGCTACACTGTTAAAACTGCATGTTTTGAGTGTTGTGTTTGTGTTCCTGGTTAAGCTTATAGGGGAGAAATTACTAAGGTATAGACATAAAAAATTAATGTAAACATAGAATTGATGTTCCACATCATTTTCACTAAAAACTGCTGTTTTCCAATAAGTGGAAACATTAATTCCCATTCTCAGTGGATAAGACTCCCAAAGAGAACACCTGTCTGTCATCGGAGGCTTGTGTGCTGCTGTTATGATAGACAGGTTTCAGCTGTGTTCCCAGAATAAGGAGGGGAAATCTTTATGGGCCCCAGTAGTCCAGTCGGTCATTGACCATAGGAGTAGTGCAGGACTCAGCACAGTTTCATTGTTCTGTACATGGGTTATCATGAGTGGGGCCAATGTGGTGAACATTAGCATTTTCTGTGTGATTTCTCCTAAATCAAAGTTGTGGGCACACCAATTTTTGCATTTAGATGCAGTTACAATCTTCATCTTAGTTCTCATCAGTTTTGTCAGGTTTTCACTGGACTACTTTTTTTAAAAAATCCCCAATATGCCCCATTATGTTGTTGTTGTTATGTGCCCTCGAGTCACTTGTGACTCATAGTGACTCTGTGTACAACAGCCTTGTACTCTGTCCTGTGCCAATCTCACTGTCTCTGACACACCCATCCTGATTACCCCAGTCACTCAATCAGTCCACCTCCTAGAGGGCCTTCCTCTCCTGTGCCATTCCTCCACCCTCCCAAGCATGATGTCCTTCTCCAAGGACTGATCTCTCCTTACAGCATGACCAAAGTATGTCAGACGAAGCCGCAGAATCCTTGCCTCCAAGGAGCAACCCAGTTTAACCCTCTCCAGGATAAATCTGTTTGTTTTCTTAGCAGTCCATGGTACCCTGAATGCTCTTCCCCAACACCACAGCTCAAAGGCATCAATTCTCCTTCTATCCTTCCTAGTCATTGTCCAACTCTCTGATGCATAACAAGTGATTGCAAAGACCATGGCCTGTTTCAGACACACCTTAGTCTCCAGAGAGACACCATTGCTTTTTAGTACTTTGGATAGGTCCCTAATAGCAGACTTTCCCATTGCAGTACATCTTAATTTCCTGGCTGCTGGTGTCAAGAGTGCTGACTGTGGAGCCAAGCAGACTAAAGCTGTGAACAACCTCAATCTCTTCACCATCCATCCTGATGCATTGATAATAATGGGTGACTGGAATGCAAAAGTTGGGAAAGAGAAGATTCAGTAGTAAGAAAACATGGACTCAGTGACAGAAATGGAGCTGGAGAGAGAATGATTGAATTTTGCACAATGACTTATTCATTGCAAACACATTTTTTAAGAGACATAAATACAGGTTATACAAATGAATCTCACCTGACGGTATGCATAGGAGTCATATTGATTACATCTGTGGAAAGAACCACTGAAGAAGCTCAATATTAGCTGTGAAAACTAGGCCAGGAGCTGATTGTGGAACAGACCACCAACTACTCATATGCAAGTTCCAGCTAAAGCTGAGGAAAATTAAACCGAATCCACAGGATCCAAAATATAACTTTGAGTCTATCCCACCTGAATGTCAGAACCATCCCAGGAACAGGTTTGAGGCCTTAAACACGAATGAGCGAAGACCAGATGAGTTGTGGGAGGATATCAAGGGTATCATCCAGGAAGAGTGCAAAATGGTCATTGCAAAGACAAGAGGAGGAGACTCTGAAAATTGCACTGGAGCGCAGAGAAGCCAAAGCACAAGGAAGAATTCAAGATACTAAAGAGCTGAACAATTTCAAAAGGCAGTGCAGGATGTCAGAGTAAAATATTACAATGAAATGTTGAAGGAGCTGGAGGTAGAAAATCAAAAGGGCTGAATTCAGCATTTCTTAAGCTCAAGGAACTGAAGAACAAATTCAAACCTCGAGTTGCTATAATCAAGGATGCTTTAGGCAGAATATGAAATAATCCAGGAAGTATTAAGATGGAAAGAATGTACTGAGTCACTATATCGAAAGGAATTGGCAGACACGGAAGAATTTCAATGAAACAACATAAGAGCAAGAGCCTATGGTGATGAAGGAAAAACTTCAAGCCGCTTTGAAAGAAACAGCAAAAAATAAGGCCCCAGGAATAGACGGTATACCAATTGACATATTTCAGCTAACAGATGCTGCCCTGTATGTGCTCACCAAGTTGTGTCAAGAAATCTGGAGAACAACCACTTGGTCAACTGACTGAAAGAGATCTCTATTCCCATTCCAAAGAAAGGGGACCCAACAGAGTGTGGAAACTATAGAATATCATTGATTTCACATGTAAGTAAGATTCTACTGAAGATTATCCAAAAAACGACTGGAACAGCCCATCAACAGAGAACTGCCAGAGTCCAGGTTGGGTTTAGAAGGGGTCGTGGTACTAGGGATATTGTAGCTGATGTTAGATGGATCTTAGCTGAAAGCAGGGAATACCAGAAGAATGTCTATTGTGTTTCATTGATTATGCAAAGGCGTTTGACTGTGTGGATCATAACAAACTGTGGCTGACTTTGAGAAGAATGGGAATCCCAGAACACTTGATCGTGCTCATGTGAAACCTATACTTGGACCAAGAGGCAGTCATCAGAATAGAGCAAGGAAACACTGCATGGTTCAAAATTGGGAAGGGTGTATGCCTGGGATGTGTCCTGTCTCCATACCTTTTCAACCTATATGCAGAACAGATTATCCGGGAGGTGGGGCTCTGTGAGGAGAAATGTGGGGTCAGGATTGGTGAAAGATCTATCAACAATCTGCGTTATGCAGATGACACAAGCCTGCTTGCTGAAACTGTGGAGGAACTGAAGCGCCTGCTGCAGAGTTTCAAGGACTACAGCCTTCAATATGGATTGAGGCTCAGTGTCAAGAAGACAAAGATTCTCACCAGTGGACCGATTGGCAGCATGCCCCATTATAGAATCTTAAATCACTTTAATCTGTATTCAGTCAAAAGTTTACTGCAACTTGGACACAGGGTGTTGTGATCAGTTTCACAACTGTTCTCAAACATTTAGTAAAAGAAGACCTGTTACATTTCAAGTCCTTACTATCAGTGTAGATCTAAAACAGCATTAAAATACCTTCCTCCAAACCAATTTGTCTCAAGTTCACGCAGAAGCGACCCTACTAGACAAGAGTAGAGCTTCCCTGTAGAGTATAAATTTTTACTAAAGCAGACTGCAACCTCTTTCTCCCACTGTGCCACTAGTGAGTTTGAACTACCAGTAATGCCAGAAACAGATCCCTTCATCACTGTCCTGCCATCTAATCTGTGACATGAGTTCTGACTCCTCTCAGCCTTCAGTCCATCGAGTTTCTGAAGCTAATTATTAGCCCAGGAGATGCTTTCTAAGATGAAGGAATTCTCAAGTACAAATAGCATGTACTAATCTATTGGCACACCTGAAGTAATAGCTATTAGAACTCATAAAACTTTCAGTCTAGAACAGAAAACAACTGTTTAGGGAGTAGTGAGGGGTGAATGTTCAGTAAGGAATATTACCTTCCTTTAGAATTCATTTCAGAGAAATATTGATTCCATATGTATAAATACTGGCAAATTTTTCCTTTATATTAAGCAGATTTACATTTTACTGTCTCTGAGACAGTGAAGGCCAGAAGTTAACAAAGATTAACCCCCAAAACTCAGGACTCTCAGTACAGCAAAACAGTCTCTAGAGTGTTTATACAATGAAATTGAAAACACTGGTATTTATTAACACAGGCTCTGTCCCAAGGGGGTTTGTTCATTTTATGAGGTGTTATTCTCATATTATGACTGGCTTCCACAGAAAACACCAGAAAATTCACTCAGTATTTTATAATGAACGTTTTCCTTCCCCAAACACAAATGTGTTTTACAACATTTTGAAACACAGTAAATTTCATTATACTGGTCATCCGTTGTTTGCTTGTTTTTCCAGTTAGATTTTCCCCTTTAATTCTGATTTAAGTGTATGCTGCTAAATAGTGATTATGGTTCTGATATACATGATAAACAGAAAACTAAAACCTAAATTAAGCTGTTAGGAAACCTGCTACCTTAAAATAACATTTCCCCTGGTGTCACACTGCCTTAAAAACACATATCCAATGTCACTTCGGATTTCAAGTTAACTTTATGGTAAAGTTGGTTATAAGTACACACTTGACTAGTCAAAAGATGTTATAATTCTTAAATAAAAATTTACCTCAAAAAAATCTTGTTAGTG